TAAAATAGCTTGGCGAATAAATATACACAAGAATGAGGGAACAACAACAAAAAAAAAAAAAAACAAAACAAAAACAAAAAAAAAAAAAATCCAAACCAAAACATAAGAGACACACAGACGGATGGACGGAGAAACGGCAAGTGTTCCGCTAAAACGCGACATCATGGTCGGATTGTTCTTCTAGCAGCCGCGGCTTCTTTCATTCCTGCTTTTACTCTGTGCTTTTTATTTACTTATTTTCTCGCTGGGTTTGTTTGTTTATTTATTTGTCTGCCTATCGATTGATTGCGTTTTAATTACAGAGCGCGAGGGAGGAGGAGCGTCGGGGGCCATGCGCGCGACTCGTCTTTTCTGACCATTTTTTTGTTTGTTTTTGTTTTCTTTTTTTTTTTGTTGTTGTTGTTCCCTCATTCTTGTGTATATTTATTCGCCAAGCTATTTTAAATGCGACGTTTTGTGCGCGCGCGTCCATATTAGCCTACAGCCCCCTCACGCCACGGTGTAAAAGAGAAGGAGCGCGTGCAGCTATGACCAAATCAGACCAAATAGTTCAGAAATAAGACTTGTTTGTGATAAATGTTGTCTTTTTTTGTGGTGTTCAGAGGAAAACCAAAGCTAAACCCGACCGGGGCGATAATATGCCACAGGAATATTCAGGCTCGACTGTTCTCAGCTTTTTTTGTTTTTTACAGGAGGAGTGAGAGGATAAAATAAGCTCCAGAGGGGGGCCTTTATATGTTTACTCAAGGAGAAAGCTTTAGCAGAACGAGGACAGGTGAAACAGCCTTTATTGTTGTTGTTATTATTAATAATCTAAACTTGTAATTGTAAAACTTTTCATGTAGCTGCAGAAGTTGATCTCTCGATCCGTCTGTGTTCAGCTGCGCTTCAAGGGACCATCCTTATGTTCTATGCACATATAGGCTACACCAAAAACAAATCTAGATCTATATGCCGAGCACCAGTCCACAAGCGTGAATAATAATTATTTAAAAAAGGAGAGGAAGAAAAAAAAAAAGAAAGAAAAGTGCGCAGCAGCTGTGGGGCTACATGTGCGCACACACCCATCCAGCTCCAGCAGCCGAGTAAATCCCCAAAGCTGTCTGCCGGAGAGTCGGACCGAGGAGAGGAGGCTTCGGAGGAGGACGGAGCTCGTCCCGGTTCTTGTGTCCGATTCTTTGCGTCCAGACGAGGAGGACCAGCAAGGAGGAGGAAGATCATGTTTGTTCCCCTGCCGGTGCCGTTCGTGTTTCAGAGAACCGCCCCTGACCTCAACGCCTGGCGTCTCAAGTCCCCCCTGGCTCTCCGCTCCAACTCCGGTAAGAMATGTTCTTATTTTTATATATTTTTTTATTTTCCTCCTTGCTTCTCTTCTGCCCGCCTGCACATCCTCCATGTCGGCCAGCCTCGCAGAGCAGCCTCATCATCAGCGGGGCGATCCGCGGCTCACACACACCCACTTACGCACTCCGCGGTCTCCTCTCGTTTTTGCGCTTTTTATTTTATTTTTTTTTATTTTAGGGGGAGGGAGGTTGTCAAAACCAGAGCAGCTTATCCCTACAGTTTCCAAACTGAAGTAATAAAAGCCTGGGGGGTGTCCTGCTGTCCAGCCGGTGAGACGATGCGCTGCCGTTCCGCTCCGGTGTTGTTCGGTTCCCTCGTTCCTTTCTCCGGGTGGGTTTACATCCCTGCGTCCTTCCCGTCTTCTCCCTGCGCCTGAGCCTCAGCCTCCGACTCTCCCCGACTAGACTCTCGGCAGGCAGGGAATATTCATGCCAACTTATCGATCCTGCGGAGATCGATTCCTGGGCCGGTGGAAGAAGTGAGAGGGGGAGATAGAAGGAGAGCGGAGGTGCACGGAGGAGAAGCACCATGCCGAAGAAGAGAAGAATGGGGGGAGGGGGGGCAGCCCTGTTTTTTAAAAAAATAATATTTAATGCTTGTGCTCTAAAACATCACTCTGGTCCGTTTGACTTGTACAAGTTGTCAGCCAAATGTTTCCATAAACACTATTTTTGTGTGACTGTATCCTCCTGTCCCACTGCTGCTGCTGCTGCTGCTGGAGGAGGAGAGGAGGAAGTGTGGAGTCAGGATGGAGGGATGGGGGGGGGGGGTAACTGTGGCGCCGTCTGTGTTTCATCTGCGTTCACGTGGAAGAAAAAGGGACGCACGGTGAGTCCAGCCTACAGACTGTAGAGTTGTCAGAGGACTCAGTTCAGCTTCCTCTGTCTCTCATGTGGCAGCTGTGCACCGCTTGACCCGTTTGACATCTTCTGTCCTGTATGTCCACGTTGTGTGGGCTTTCAGAGGACACACACTAAAGATCTGCAGTTCACTTCTTAAACATCTGAGTCCAAACAAGAAGGAAGAATTGCGAGTATTCATTTGTATTTAGCACAAAAAGTAAAGATATTAGTSTTWGGTCAATTATTTCTTTGTTGTAACRATGCTTCATGGCAATAAATCTCATCTGATTGGAAAGCTTGTTAAATTCTCTTTTAAATGCTGCCACATTTGTAAGGAACATGCATTTGTGGGATGAGCAGTAGGTGGGTAGCACACATGGAAAATTTGCTAAATCTTCTTTGCCAAACAGCTTATTTTGTCATAAATGGTAAATGGCTTGAACTTATACAGCACCTTATCAAGTCCATATGGGCCCCACACTTCATTCACCCTTTCATCCTTTCACCCTTTCACACGCTGATGGTAGTAAGCTACAGCTACAGCTGCCCTGCAGCACAGTGACAGAGGCAGGGCTGCCAAACACCGGCGCCGCTGGACCCTCTGACCACCATTGGTAGGCAAGGTGGGTGAAGTGTCTTGCCCAAGGACACGAGTGAGACAGCTGGACCAGACAGTTGTTTCCGTTGACACTTGTTTGGAGCTTCTGGTACCAGGTGCTGCCATTCAGGTACCCAATATAAGATTTATTGCCAAGAAGTATTGTTAGAACAAAGAAATGATCTACCGAACACTAATTTATTTCATTTGGTGCTAAGTTTATTAGCAAAATACCTCATAAACAACTGGACGTTTAATAAAACCTAGAATTGACTTGATGTACATCAGCTGATTCACGTTTAGCATTAACCCCGTTCAAGATGGCTGCCATGGCTAAACAATCTTAGCAAACACAAACAGCTGAGATAAAATCTGGTGCGGTAAATGAGCCCAAACACATACTACAATAGTGCTATATTTCTGCTAAAACATTTGATATTAACTGTTTATGTCAATCCTGCCTGTCTGTTAGCAAAATATCTCATGAACAACTAGACAGATTTTGAAYAGAACTTCCAGAAAACAATCATGTTGTATCTGAAACTCATAAACATTTAGGCCCTCCAATTCAAGATGGCCGCCACAGTATACTGACCTTTAGAAACACACAAAAAACTACAAATCAGTCAGTTTTACAGATGTTGAGCTAAAATTTGCTGACTCAACTACTTTTAACTGCTAAAATTAACATTAAAGTTAACTGCTGCTAATGGCCTGTATATTCACCAGTGGGTTAATGGGTCTTTGGATCTTAACATTCCTACAGCAACACCTCTTTCCCAGATCATTTTTTGGGGTCTTTTTGATTCCAGAAAAGGACAATGCCACCTTTCAGTTTTTATATACTCAGTCAACAGTGTGTAACATATGACAGTAAGCAGACAGGTAAAAGAGGTAAAGAGAGAACATGGGTTCAGAGGGATGAAAATGACCTGTTACCTGCTAAATTTCCAGAGATACACACAGTGAGAGACGCTGCAAGGAGGACGAGGCACATGCCAAGACCAAGGAGGAGGAGAAGGAGGAGGAGTCTTTGAGTTCCACGCGTTGAAAAATGGCGAATGTCAGAATGAGATAAAAAAAAAAAAACCATGGAAAGAGAGCGCGAGAGAGGAGAGAAGTGGGTGAAAGTAAGAGCAAGATGACAGAGTGAAAAACGAGGCGGGTGAGGGAAACTTGGTTTGAGCTTTGAGAGGTGAGAATAAACCACAGATGAGCCATTATGTTGCAGCGTCCCGGGCCGGGAGCAGCATCTGAATAAGCAGAGGCGAGCTGATGGGCTGCAGGCTGCCGAGCTCCCCCGGATGAGGAGATGGCAGTGATTCACAATCTTATGYTGATTCTATTCTGTTAAGATAAAGCGGTACACTGCTCTGTCCTTGTCAATAATTTTGCTGCTAAGAACAGACCAGGGCTGCGCTGTTGCATTAAACGCAGATACATATTGGGATCTTGGTTGAAAAAAGCATTTTAGGTGGCAAATATTTTGCTTTTTGGCTCTGTTTTTGTTTTCCAAACGGGCGCACCTAAAACGTTGGCAGTCATTGAGAATGTTGGGGTCGTATACAAAAACCCAAAACATCACAGAATTTCAGCAGCTTTGTTATGCTTTAGGCTTTCCAACAGAATAAGATTTATTGCCAAAAAGCATTGTTAGAACAAAGAAATAATCCACCAAACAGAAATATCCTTATTTTTTGTGTATAGTTTATATAACGCTTTATAATAGGATATACGTTTAAAGGCCAAAATGCAGCATAGTGGGACTTAGTGAATAACCAACTGCCTTCTTTGTGCTCATGTTTTACAGTTGATATGACACAGTTGATCAATGATTTTCTTTATGCCGTATTTTRTTTTGCTCAACTTTGGTTGTCTTTAGCTATTAAGTTTCATTTTTAATGGTAATTATTCCARAGTATCACATCAAACATAAAAAAGTTGAACTGTTATCAGAAGGATACAACTTGAAATATTTTCCTCAATATGTTATGTATGCAGGTTTGCACTCAATGTAAACAAARCACTTTTATCTGCACACTTTACTCAAGTAATTTGAGCGTATATAGTGTACGAACTGATGAATCTAACTTGTCTCCTCACCAAAAAGCTTTTCCTCCAGTATCATTGTTGATCTATTTTCAGTCACTTTGGCTCTTAAATGTGACCCACCACAGTGGGATATGGTGAAATAGGCAAATATAAAGTATTGATTAAAAYGTTTGCAAAAATTGCATTTTGTCAAAACATAATGAATAAATGTCTTGTCAATGTATCATGTGAATGAACGTTCTGAAATATAATAATAMAATTTATTTAGAGCAATARCAACAGAAAACCTGATTWAGAGCAAAAACGCCTTTCAATTTTGAGGTTTTTCCTGTGAGCTAGAAAAGCTTTTGGTTCTTTCCAGCTGGAAAATCTCAATATTTAAATACTATTTGAAGTTTAATAAATTTAATAATGACATCAAAAATTCTTCATTTAATTACATAAAATTAGGATTCAGACCAAATCTTATTATATTATTGTAACCAACAAGACAAATTAGGTCATATATATGGACTTACTTATGATATCAGAATAATCCAGGTATCAAAATGTAGCTTTTAAAGTCAGAAATCTGAAAATGTGATTAGGGCATCTTGACCAAATTTGACTTAATCCTCATTTCAATATGATGGAGCACAAATGTCACTTGGAGACAAAAAAATTGTGTAAATTATGTTGAAAGGAAACCAGACTCAGACTTGAATGTTTATTCGCACACATATAAAGATTATCAAAGCGCTGGGATCCATCCCATCCAAGAGGACAAAACGGCCCCCATAATGGGACATTCCAAAGTTTTTATAGCATTTGGTCCCAGATATGATGCAAAACAGTTCCTCATTTCTGAAACAAAATTGTGTTTTTACTGAYGTTAAATAGAGACTTGTTTATTCYCTTACTGGATAAAGTAAATGCTTACAACTGATCACAAAGAACAAGATATAAGACTGTGTCTAAAAATCAGCTAATCAACCACAACATGTCCAGCAGTGTTTGGAGTGTGTTTAAACTGTTCAAAAATYGTGTTTGCTTTTTGTGTTTACGAGGGTCTGCTGATGCCATATACACAGATAAATTTACAAATGCACACCAAACTCAAGCTCAGGAATCAGAAAGACGAGATTATCTGGCAGAGGAGGGTAGCAAATTTATAGGGTTGGCCACATCCACCCCCCACCCCCAGGCCCCCTTCTTGGTGATGCCCCTGTTTCCCAGCCGACACACTCAAACACAGATTTCCCRTGTAGTTGCAGGCCTCTTGACTCGAGCTCTCAGTTAACTCGTCTCTTTGACTGGTGGCAGCTACTTGACTCCTTTGCGTCAGAGCTTTGTGCGGGGTCAGAGGTCACGGCAGCAGTGTTAGACTCGGCCCCACCTGACCCTTCCCTGCCCCCTGTGTTTTCATTCTCTTTCATGTTACAATGGGCCTCGAGCACTCATGCGCAGCCCCTGTGGKGGGCCTCACACACACACACACACGTCG